TACTTAAGGTAACCTATTAAGTTGATAGAGGAAGTACTTGTGTCGCGATAATAATAATAATAATAATATAAAAGTTTTCCAAAACTTTCAAAAAAAAAATGGAAATAATTTAAAAAACAAGCAGATTGATTGACAGGCAACTTGAAGAAGTCAGAGAGAGTACAAGATAGTGCTTCGCGATTTAAGAAAATGTTCCTTTGGAAAATCTCAAAAGAAGAGTTTTTTGAAATAAATTTTTTAACTGACTGCTGGCTGATAAAGAATGAATCCGTTAAGATAATTTGTAGCGCGAACGAATTTCCGTTAATTCCAGGCCCATACAATATCATTCAGAAGAACAAGCCACAGTAAACCCGTTCAGCTATGCCTTAATCATAATGATTTTCTTACCGCAAGATTACAGGGTTCTTCGATTGACTGATGAATAATTTACGCCATAACGATTCCAACTGGAAAGCATATTATGGAGCGAAAAAAAAAAAAACATAGTTTAATAATAATATTAAGATTCAATCAAATGTGATTGAACTGTTAAAGGTTCTGGCTTAGATTGCCAGACTTCGATGTGAGACGTCCGAGCCTGTCTGGAATCGAAGCAGAACAACTTACTTACGAATTCGCTGAGACTCGAAATTCTTCTCGGAAATATCAGGAAATCATTTGATTTCTGGGAAAAAAATTGTACAATGTCTTTGTTAAGTGAAATGGCGGAACAAACTTTGATATGTACATGTGGGTGCTCTTAGCCACTAACTAATTAAATACAATTTATATTGAAAATGTAAAAATTTGGAATATTTTTTGATTTACAAACATTTCATTATGGTGTGCGTGTGTGTGTGTGTGTGTGTGTGTGTGTGTAAGCACATGTGATAGGTGTAGGGGATATTTAAAATTGAAATTAAACCAAGGTTTATCGCTCGCGTTTGTTATTTAATTTAGATTTCATTTCATCAGAATATGTCTTGAACGCTTAAGAAGCAGAACGGTTATCTCTCGCCCATTATAAGTTCGAATTTGTTTGACATGCAGCCATTTAACCTTTTGTGATTAGGTTCTTCTCTATAAATTAAATACATAGGCACATGTATACAAGTGATGCTAATTTAACGGAATTCACGTAAACGTGAAAAAAAATTTCACTTCGAACACCTATGCAAAACGCATGCAAAAACGCATTCACTAACGTAACGTTTCTCCATTTGAGGTTATGGTGATTCGATCAAAATGCAAATAATGTGAGATCTTCTTCTTTCTTCGTATAGCCTTACTTTACATCATTGTCACACTGAAGTTGCCTAACGCATCGAATTGTAGACGTACGAGAGCATTCGCAAAATATTTTATTGTGAAATATTAACAAAAGTGAATCGATAATTAATAATCACGTAGGCACTTGCAATCTTTAATTATTTCATATTTTAGATCGTTCGTTGCAATAGCGTTTCAATCACAGTACATGTGTGAGTATATATGCGTCCATGCTTTCGCACATTTGATCACCATGATTTCGCACACATCATATAATAAATTGAGATCGATTTTCTCGGTTCATTCAAGAAGATGTGCCATTCCTGAATTTAGAGAGAATTCTCTTTAAAAAATACGACTCCTTACCAAGCCAAAAGTCCATTGTATGGCAAGAATGTGACATGCGCTTTTCAAGCGGCAAATTTCTATCTATGCCCAATAGGCTCCTATAATCGGCAATAGACATAACAATGGCAAGTGGCTTTAACAAATCCATTTAAATTATGAGAAAGTTTACTTTCAAAAGAATACTAAAAATTTACGAATTCTTTACGCATTTATTTAGAACGGCCTTCAAAAAACCGCAAAAAATTTACATTTTAAAAAAAAAAAAAAAAAAAAAAAAAAAAAAACTCTCTTTTCATCTCTAATACACGCCCTCTGCAATTGCAATGAACGCCTTTCAAGCAGTACGTGTCAGAAGTTCAAAGCACCTTTCCGGCCCTTACGGTAATTTTTCTATTGATAATTTTTCATTTTATTCCCTTTATTTTTTACGCTTTTCTTTTTGGGGTATGCCGTAGACAATCCTGACGACCTTCACTATATATAGTCATAGTAATCGGACAAGAACTGCAGATTACATAGAATAAAATCTTAGTAAAGGAATACTTGAGGATATTAAAATTTGCTATTATTAGTTGAACAAGTTATTACGGAACGAAAAAAAGCAAATAATCAAAAAGCCCATTAAGCTGTTTAGGCGTTTCTCAGTTTAAGTTTCACTCTCTCTCTCCTTTTTTTTTTTTTTTTTTTTGGTAACCACTCACTCACCCATTCAAGTATGTCGCGTACACGTGCAAACTTGATAATGATTAAGGAGGAATTGTCGATGAAAATAGCGATTAGAGAGAGTTGGCGCAGGACGATGATAGGTAAAGGCCCGACTTAATATTTTCAATTGCATTGAAAGATCATAAGGCACTGTAAAGGAGCATGAGAAGTGAAAAGTTCTAAAGTTGGAAAGTTGGAAAATATCTTCTTGTTGTGCATTTCATCCCATTTTGACAGTGTCCTCACTTTTAATTCAAATAATAATAGCACAAGTGCGAGAGAGAAGAGAGAGAAGAGAGAGCAGTTAAGACGTTGACTTGTTGCTTTGTTTCTGTCTCGCGCGAGGGCAAAATTCTCGATTTTTCATAAAAGCAACGATACTCTCGTTACGAATTAAAGCATTCTTAAGTAAGTTAATTGTGTTTTTAATTTTTATGCCCCTGATTAGGCAAAAGATCTCGTCGGCGATAGAATTTCAATAAAGCCGAAAGCTTTCAACGCTAGTGCTTTAAGTATTTAGTCTTAAAATTTATTTCTCTCTCTCACTCTCTCTCTCTCTCTCTGGCTAATAATAATATTGTTTAGTTCAATAAATTTTCATTCGTTTTGCTTCGTTCCTTTGTTTTATTCTACTTAAGGCTTGAAGTTTATGATACGAATTAATTACGCTACTTGTCAATGTTGTCATGAATTCTGATTCCAGATCAGGAAAACGTATACCCGGTGCCTTTCATGATCAGCACGAATTTTGCGATTAGCGATTTAATTTATTTATTGTTATTTACATTGAATTGACATCACTAGCGTTACACTTGGCCGCGTCAGTGTGTACGTTTTTGTGTTTGTGTACACAGTTATATTTAAATTAAACAATTCTCAAATATATTCAATTATCAAATTTTTAAAGGGTATAAAATTCGTGTTTGTTTCCATCTCGCATTAGTAGTTT